GTTTAGTTGACTTTTGACCTAGTACAATTGATTTTTAAACACTTAAGCAGTTGACTGAGCAAACTTGTAGGCATGAAATTTGTCATGGACATTCTTGAAGACATATTAGGGACCATGGAAATCATTTGGAGCCTTTGCAACCCAAACATCTTAGTGAAAAGTGAAACCCTAGTTGGAGGTTCATTGCTTAGGAGGAGAATTTGTCTGATCAACTCTTGTGCAATTGAGGACCTCAATGAACATGTCTTGAATAAAAATGGGAGGGAAAATTTTGGGGTACAACATAAATACTCAAGGTCTTTCTTGTAATTTTCCTCCTCCTTTAGATAGTGTTATCCTACCATTAGTTAGTAGAAAGCTCTATTGTTGGATGTGAAGGGACATGCATGGGTCATCGTACAGTCATCAAAGGCAACTGGTAGAGACGCTTTAGTAATTTTTGTTAAGGGACTAGATCACTTACCGAAGGTAACATCGAAAGGGTCATCGAGGGACTATGATCTTTGTTTTCGAGGGACTTTGCTAAAACATCCCCATGTTTGATGGACATAACTGTTTTTTAATTCGAAGGCAACAAGAGAGGTTACCCTAGATGTGTGAGTGTGCGAAGTGTGTTGTATTTCAGTTATTTTTAGTCTTACAGTTAAGGTTAGCTATCAATTCGTTATTATCTTGCCATACAAGACCTAATTACTAAGCAGTAAACATAAAAATAATGAAAAGCACTGAAGTGCAGAAAATAAATGCGGAAAGGTAAACCCTAGACTATTACAATGCTTCGGGGCAGTTACACAATAGAAATGTGGAAAGTAAACCCTAATTACAATTACAAACTGAGAAACAGTTACATAATAATTAAGAGAAAAGAAATGTGAGAAATAAACTACGCAAAATGTAAAAATAGGAAAAAGGAAAGCGAAAGTGTTTTTGGTGATTTTCGATAAAAAAAAGTTAGATGATTAACCTAAAAAAAACCTAATTGATTTAATTAAAAAAGAAATCGATTAATTTAATTAATTAAAAAAAACAAAACCTAAAAACCTAATTTGATTAGGGTTCATGGAAAAAAACATTTTTGGTTTTTGTAAGAAAAGGGTTTTGATTAGGTGAATTTAGGGTTTCTAAGTGAAAAATTGATAAAAAACAAGGTTTTAAAAAATACTGTCAGGGGTGGGTGTTGAACGCACACCCTTAGCTCTTTCAGCCAACACCTTCTCCACTGCACCAAGCGCGTGCTTTGGTACAAGAGATGGCATCAACATGCTTTGTATGTTAACCTGCAAAAATCAAAAATTATGAAAAAAGTTACAAAAGGCAGGGATCGAACCCACGCCTTGATAGAGGAAAGCCTTAACGCGCGTTTTAACCACTAGAGTGGTGATACATCCAATGTTATTAGCGAATCAAAATAAACATAACATCGAAAAAATATTGCATGACCGGAGAGGCGCCAGAGCCCTAGCTCTGGTCGTCTTCTCCGTGGCTTCTTTTTTGTTCCTACAAAATAGACACATGTTAGAAATCCAGGGGGACCCTACCCCCTTAAATCAATGCCTGTGAATCCAATGGGACCATTATATTAGGCTAAAACGAACTGGTTTGGGATGTACATCAAAAACAACATAGATCAAATCAAACATGGCAATTCATGGTTTCTATTGCATGGGACTCCTACGATGATCCAATCCTATATAACCACATCTCAGAAACACATTAATAGCGTTAGTATACCTTAAAACAAAACGGAAATCAAAATATGAATTTGAAAAAATAATGAGATCGAAGATGTATGCATGTAGGTTTTGGAAGCTTTGGATCCTCAGGTTTAATCCATTCTTACTTTGTGGTGTTGCTGGAATTGATTAGCAATGCTGGAATGCTTGGAAGATGGCTGCAAACTAGGGTTTCAAGATTGCCCTAGTTTGATGATTTTTGAGATTATTGGAATTTGTTTCTTGCACAAGGTTTTCGTCCTCCTTCTTTGTCTAAATTCATACAGTATATAGAAGAGAATTAGGTCAAGATATAGTGGGCTTGGACTTGTGTAAGAAGCTTGATCTTATTTCATTTTACTTTGACTTTTAAAATACTAAAAATCAAAAATAAATATAATAACTCAAAGGGGGTGTATGAACAAGTTTTTAGGTACACTATGAAGTGTATAACACGTTTGGACCTTGAAACATCAGCCCAATAGTCCAAAATTCTAAGTTTGCTCACTTTTTGTTTCATGCATTTTCTCAAAATTTATCAACTTGCACTAGTCATAACTCTCTCAATTTTTATCATTTGAAGGTTATATTGGACTTTTTGGAAATCTCAATATGTCCTCTATAATCCCTATTTTTATAATTTTTGCATTTGAATAATTTATCTTGATGTAAGTTTCCTTGATAAAAAGTGTCTTTTTGTTGACTTTTGAAATGACCTATAATGTATTGGCCCATATCTCTCAAATGAAGCATTTTTTGGACTTGATCTTAGAGATACAAAGTTATAGATAATTGAATTTACTTCAAAATGAGATTTGGTTGAGAAAAGTATGATGAAGCATGTGAAAGTTATGCTTGGTCAAAGTTCAGTTGACTTCTCCTTAAGAAAGCCCTAATTTGACAACTTTTGACTTTTTATGATTCTTGAGTTTTCTTGATGAATAATGATCAACCCTTGATCAAATTCTGAATGTAGCTTTAAAATGTTGACCAAAAATATTGAGTTTGACTGCATGTTGACCATAATTGACTTTTTATCCAATATAGTTGATTTTTAGTCATCTGAGCAATTGATTGAGCAAACTTGTGATGCAAGGCATGAAACTTGGCATGAAGCTCCTTAGGGACATATAATAAACCATGACATCCACTTGAGGCCTTAGAAACCTAAACTTCTTTGAGAAAAATAAAATCCTAGTTGAATGTCCATTGCTTAGAAGGAGTATTTATCTGATCAATTCTTGAGCAACCTCGAGCATTTGAGAATCATAGGAGAATGTCTTGAAGAAATGGAAGGGAAAATTTTGGGGTACAACAATAACATATTAAATCAAATCAATCAAATACACCTAGTTAGAGAGATTTTCACAACCATCTCTAACCTCAAGCCCCATCAATGGAGAAAGGAAAAATGGAGAAGAATAGGGTAAGGACCCCTATCTATCCTCTATGTATATAAAGCACCCATATGTGAACCAATCCCCTACCTCAAATTCATTAGCAAAAGAAACTCTCACAAAGTTTCAATGCTTCTCCTCTTAGGTTTTCTCTCTCTTCTCTTTCCTCTTTCTCCAAACTTCATGTTTTGAATGTTTTCTTCCAAAAACGTCACACTATAACTATTTATTTATCTCTAATACTCACTAATTAGTCCAATTACTAACCACACCGTTCCCACTACTCTATTTTCTAATTTATTTTTAATTAAATATAATTTAAATTCTAAAACTCCTCAGTTTTCATATTCTCTTAATATTCTAGTATTCTAATTAAATTAAAATGCTCACTATTTCTGATTAATTATTATACCGTCCAAAATAAATAAATATATGTACACTTAATCACACAAATTATTCAAAATAATTATTCAAAAATAGCATAATAATATATTATCACTATTAAGAATAGATTCAGGGCGTTACAGAGAGCCTTTTGATGTTAGGCATAGGATTTTCTGGGTAGATGGTTCCTTTCTAATGGTTGCAATGGTGGTGGTGACTCTCTTTTGTTCTTTTGTTTTCACAGGATCAAAACGTCCTCCTCCATATTTCCAATGACGCAAACGACTTTGTCTCCATCTCCTCTTCTTAGCTATATATCCATGCCTTCTTGGCGGGAGTGAGCGTCTCCTCCTCGGGGAATAAGGACTGAGTTATTTTAGAGGGTTGCTTATCTTTGAAGAAGGTAACCTTACCGGTATCTTCTCGTCCCCTCTTGTTGTACTTCAAATGTTAACTCCTCCTTATCAGAGACACATGGGTTCTTTTTCCCTTTCCACCTTTTCCGTATTGAGAAGTTAGACGTCAACCCCACTGTTGGAGTCTTCTTTTCCTTTTTCATTACTAAACCTGTGAAAGGAAATTGGGTGAACTTGAGCAACATGAAAACTCATGGCCTTCTTACCCTCACTCTAATAACTATAAGTATTGGATGGACAAGTTTGTCCAGGTGACGGGTCGAGAGGATTCCCTTGGTATTTTGGATTCTGATGGTGTTTCCCTCTTCCCATTATCTTGGACACATGTACTGTTAATAGTTACAGACTATCATTGGGTGTTCCTGTCTGTTGAGGAGAGAAAAATCATTCGTTTTCAAGAGCAATTTGAGGTTATGGACTACTGAGAAATGATTAAACTCTAGCGAGAGGGTGGCGACCATCTCACCACTTACATAGGCAGATGACTTTCCTTTTTTGCTTATGGGACCTATATACCTTTTTTCTAACACACGCTTTTGTTCATATATATATATCAGATGGCCAAGACCTCCCTCCACCCAGGAGTTCCATGAGAGATGAGAGAGGATTAAGTCTGCCGATTCGGGTTCCAACACTCCAAAGAGCCACCCTGGGGGAGGGTGGTAGGGGGTTGACCATCCGGGGACAAAAAAGAGCGGTCGAGACTCTTGCCTCCATGTTGAGGGAGGTAAAGCTCAACGATTGGAGGGGAAGTATCCTTTTTATGTTGGTCAAGTGGTAGATTCTGTCGGGGGCGCGAACCTTACACCTTGGTGGTGCGATTTCAGCCATTACCTTCTTCACTTCAAAAGCTCGCACCTCCCATTTTCCAAGAAGTTCCTTGTAGAATATCGGGCTCTTAGTTCATAATCACCCTCAACTATTACGAATATGAAAGATACCCTTCTGCTAAGGGTGTTGATGCTTTAGGAAGTTGAACATAGGAAGTATTATAAGGATGCAAGTGATTTGGAGGCGAGGCTCCAGGAGAAAATAAAGGCCAATAATGAAATCCATCAATTGCTTTATTCACTCTAGTAGGACGAGAAAGAATGAGGAAGAAACTGGAAGATTCCCAAGCTAAAGATAGGGAGATCTCTACCGAGAAGAAATCTCTACATGACTCTTTGGATATCATTCTTCTTCGCCAAAAAGATTTGGAGAATGATGTCTCAGATTTGACTGATGAACTGCTGGGAGGTCATTCAAGAGGGCTAAAGAGCAAGTCCTTTTCTTGTACTCTACTCTGAATCTGAGCCTTTTAGACCCTTTCAAAGTCGTAAAAGGTGAGGTCATGGTAGATGAAGAGGCGATGACCCCCCGATCCCAAACCCTTCCACTCTTATGTGGAAAGCGTGATCCGTGAAAGTGGCGACCATGGAAGCCTGTAGGCGGAGCTTGCTATTGAGGAAATTCCCAAAGAATGATATTGGCCCTATACGACTTTTATGTTTTCTTGTACTCCCTTTTGACCTCTTCGGGAGCTTTTGTAATCATTTGAAACAACAATTCCCCTTAGGTGGTGTTTTTATGTTAATTGTTTTTTTAATATTTAGTTGCTTTTGTCGTTTTCTTTTCTAGACGTCCTGTGGTCATGGTCTCCCTTTTTGGGTGGTAGGGATCCTCCCCCGGAAATCCAACAAACATCTATGACACGTTTGATATATGTTAAAAGTATTTTTTTGTCAAATAGTTTAATAATTGAAGTTTCACTTTTTTTTAAAGTGAACAAGTAAAATGTTAGAGTTTGAATCTATATTAAATAAATTTTTAATCCTATAAAATTTATATTTTTAATCCTATAAAATTTATATTTTTAATTATTACAAAAATTCTTCAATTTTTAATTATATATTAACTATTTAATTAATTAATATAATAATTCTAAATCATTTGAAATAATAGTTACAATTAGGGGTGGCAAAACGGGTCGCCCGCCCAGTTCCACCCCGTCTTAAGCCCGCCAAAAAAAGGGCAGGATGAACAAGCCCACCAAGTCGACATGGACATAAAAATCTAGTTCGCCCCGTCAAGGTGGTGGGTTGGCGGGCGGCAGACTGGCCCGCCTACTTTTTTATTTATTTTTTTCTTCATTTTTTAATAGATTAATAGTTTTTTTTACATTTCCATTAGATTTTTCATTTATATTTTAGAGCAGTATTTATAAAGCATCTTTGAACAAATTTTACTTCAAAAAATATTGCATATATTCACAAATTAGTATATAAAATAAAACCATAAAAAATTAGAATTATTAGAATTAATTAAAAAAAAGGGTTGGATTGAGGTAGGACAAGCTAAACGAATATGTGCGGCAGACATTAGCGAACGATGAATTCTGATGGAGTCGGCTTTGGCGTATGGCGGTCTTTAACGAGACAGACTTTGGTGGGTGTAATATGGTGGGAGAACTGACTTTTGGGTTTTGCGTTTTATCGCAAATGTTACGGATAGCAAGAGTCGCCACCGACTTTTCTTTTATCCAATAAAGGAAAGGGTAAAAAGAATAGAAAATACCTTTTGAGATTTTTCTTGAGTTCGAGGGATAAGTTATGAAAAGGGAAGGTGTTAGCACCCTTTCCATCTGTAGTTATCTACGGGCTCTTAATTGCTAGCTCACTTTGAAAATGATTCTCGTATCTACGGGCTCCTAGGTGCGGCAATTTTGTAATGATTTTCGTATCATTGAGAATGTATACAAAATGTTTGTTTTGAAAATATTTGTTGAAAGAGAGTTTTTGAAAATGCCAATGTAAGGCAATTTTGTAATGATTCTCGTATCGTTGAGAATGTATACAAAATGTTTGTTTTAAAAAAGTGTTTTTTTTTTAAACAGTTGTTTGGAAGTGTGAGGTGTGAAAAATTGTTTAGTTTGTGAGCAAACGATTACGAGTGATCTACCTACTCAAAAGTCTTTGTTCTTTTTCTCTTCCTTTAGATAGTGCTATCCTTCCATTAGTTAGTAGGAATCCCTATCATAGGATGTGAGGGACATGCGTGGGTCATCGTACAGTCATAGAAAGTAACTTGTAAGATGCTTTAGCAATTGTCGTAAGGAACTAAGATCATTTACCGAAGGCAAAATTGAAGGGCCATCGAGGGACTACAATCTTTTAATCGGGGGTCTTTGCTAAAGCATCCCACGTTCGATGGACATAACTGTTTTATCTGAGGCAACAAGCGGGGTTATCATAGAGGTGTGAGTGTGAAAAGTGTTTTGATTTCAAGTATTTGTGTTTGAGATTAAGTTTTCTAGTGATTGATTTTAATCTTCCCATACAAACCCTAATTACTAATAGTAATAAGGAAAACTGTAAATTACAGAAATTAAATGTCCTACGCTATTACAATGCTTTAGGAATGGAGGATACAAAATTGTGAATGGGGAGGAAAGCAATAAACCCCAATTAAACTATTACAATCCATAAGCAATTACATAACTATGAAAATAATAATGTGAAAAATAAACAAACACGCGGAGATGGTGAAAAGGGAAAATATTTAAAACCCTAATAAATTTCTAAGTATTAAAAATGTTTTGCTGTTTCTTTGTTTAGAAAGTATTTGAGATGTGAGATAAAGAATTTAAACCTAATTCTATTTACAAATTAATTATTTACAAGGAAATAAGGTGTGATTAAATAATCTTTTATTATCAAAATTAAATTATTTAAAGTCTAAAGAAATCTAAGTATTTAGAAAAGTATTTTTGGAGTTTTATTTAGAAAAGATATTTGAAGTATAACCGAATTCTTAAGGTGATTAAAATAAATCAATTTTGTAAAAAATTAAATTAACTAATTAAAAACCTAAATCTAAATTTTATATAAATAAAAAATAAATTTTTGTATTTTAATTAAATGAAATAAATAAATAAAAGTAAATAAAATAAAATATAAAAAAAGATTGGGCCTGGCGTTAGTAAAAGGAAATTGAGGGGTGAAAAGAAAAATGTTAGGACCAAATAATCAGTTTTTGTGAAACAGGAAAAAAATAATAAAAAAGAAGGTAATGGGCCTGATGTGGCAAAAAGAAATTAGGAGGGTGAGGAGAAGCAAGAACATTGGGCCCAAAAACAAGGAGCCCGGACATTGTATTGGATTCAATATGGCTATCCCTAAGGAGTGTATCATGCGTTTGCCTTCTGGAGCATTTGATCTGACTTTGTGATGATCATGTGGTGAGGGAGTGAGGGTGTATATCATGCGCGCTGGGCTTGTTTGTATTGAATCTGTAAGAAATAAATATGAAACAAATAAAAGGGTATCACTGGGGCTCGAACTCAGGTCCCTATAGTCACATGCACGCGCTTTAACCACTGGGATGGTGATACATCTGTTGGTTTATACACAAACTATTAAATATATTACAAAATGTAACTTCATCTTCTTCCTCGCGCCAGTATCCATGAACACATTTTTGAATTTTGTAAAATGCTCATTTCTCAACCAAATCAGAAAATGTAAACATCAAACTTGCTTGAAATTTAACCACAAATCCAACCATATAAATTTCAAATGCTATAGATCAAAGATGGGTGAGAATTTTATTTGGTACCAAACTGAACCCTAAAATTTCAAGAACTTCAGTTTCAAAATTCTCATCACTCAGTCAATATAAATGAAAAGTAAGCACATGGTTAGATTCAGGACAATGATGTCTACATTTTTTATTCAGAAAGTAAACATTAATGATGCTTGTGCAGAAATTTCCAAGTTTAGAAAACTTACCTCAAAAGTGAGAATCATGTTTGAAGTTGCAACAAATGGAAGTTTTGTGTAAAATTCTGACTTGGGAGAGTTTTAGAGGGTTAGATGGCTTATGAAATCATACCTTAACTTGCAAATACTTCCTCTATTTATAGGCAAGAGGTTTTAAGATAAGGGTTGATCAGATTTGCAAGATCACATGTTATGGCTAGGTTGGATTGTAAATGAAGCAAGCTTGAAGATCATAGTTCCAATGCTTTGTACTTTGCTTCATAGAGTTTTTGGATACTTTAATCATGCTTATATGATCTTGTATGTTGAGTGTGTGCATAAGGAACAAGTTAGAGGCTCAAGAAGAGTTGACTTTGTGATTAAAGCTACTTTGCAAGAATGACAATGTTAACTTTGTGCCAAAAATGGAATAATCACTTGGACAATGGCTTAAATACTTGGATAATGATTCAATCAGTTGTTTAAAAATTTAATTATGGTGATATTTTCAAGTTAGAAGCCTATAAAGAAAGATTTATGCAGCATGGTTTGGAGATTTGATGTCATGTTCATCACAAAGTGACTTGTGTTTCAAGAATGGATGCCCAACTTCATCTATTCGAATCTCCTAGCTCAAGCATGATAAAAATGTGTTCTTGGACATTTTGGAAAGTTTGAAGCATTGCCTACAACTTTCATGTTGATCACTTTGGCTAAATAGAATTGGAACTTGGTGAAAATTTTCCAAGAAGTTTGGGATAAAAATCTGACCAAACTTGTTGAAAATTTTACTAAGTGTTTAGATAAAAATGTCATGACTTCATGGGCCTATATCTCCTAATCCAAGCATTTTTTGGACATCAACCCTCAAGTACAAAGTTGTAGAATTCATAAATCCCTATAACTTTCATGTTGAAAATTTTTCTTGAACCATCTTGTATCTTAGTGAAAAATGGTCATGAAGTAGTGAATTTATTCAGGAGAAAACACTTAGAATTCTTCTAAGTATTGGAAATTTTGACTTTCTGTTGACTTTTCTTGACTTTGTTGATTCTTGTTGATCAAGCTTGATAAATCTGAATATTTTGACGACTCTTGGTCTTTGAAGTTCAAAGTTGACCAAAAAGTCAAAGTTTGACTTTTGTGTGACAATTGACTTGTCATCAGTTGATCTCAATTCTTAAACTATCAATCACTTGTATCTTTGGGAATGTTTTGAATAATGTAATTAGGTCAAGATATTATATTTGAGCCCTTGAGATTATGCTTCAAGTCATTAGATCATGTACTAGGTCAAAAGTCAATGACCAGTCATTCTTAGTAAAAACCCTAATTTTGACAATTTTGCCTCTTTGGTGATCTGAGGGCTTTTCTTGAGGAATTATGATCAATCCTTGATCAAATGATGAATATAACTTCAAAATGTTGATGTTGACCAAAAATCTTGAAGTTTGACTGTATGTTGACCACAATTGACTTTTTACCCAAACAGTTGATTTTCAGTCATCTGAGCAATTGACTGAGCAAATTTGTGATGCAAGACTTGAAACTTGGTATGAGCATTCTTGGAGACCTATGATGAACCATGGAAGTCACTTGAGGCATTAGAAGTCCAATTTTCCTTGAGAAAACCAAAACCCTAGTTGTGGATCCAGTGCTTAGGAGGAAAACTTGTTTGATCAACTTTTGAGAATCTTTGAGCATTTGAGAATATTTTATGAGAAATATATTGAATAAAAAGGGAGAGTAAATTTTGAGGTACAACGGATCCAAAATTACAACCCAACCCGCCATTTTATGGCGGATGCGCAGGCTGGTTTGACTGACCACGACCCGTTTTGCCCCCTCTAATTACAACCTTAGATATTTATCTTTATTAAAAATATATAAACTAACTGTTCAGGTTGATCTTACCTAAAAATATACTAATCTAGAAGTCTCAATTTAAATCTTATTAAATATTTATAATTTTTATGTTAGATGAACTCATATAAAATTTTAATATATATTTAATTAGACTCCACTAATAAAAAAGGAGATTAATAACATAAGTTTTTTCAAGAAAATATTTTGAGGAGTAACAGAAACGCTGCGTTTTAAGATTTTAAGGAAAGAAGAAGAAGCATAGGAGTAAGATTGTTTTTCCTTTCTTCATCCTGTTTCATTTCTCCATCAAATTAGGGTTTTCAGCGAAAACCTATTAGTTGTTTTTTCTCCCTTTTCACTCGCATCACCTAATCTTCTACCTTGACGATTCTCTTTCAAAAAAACCCAACAAACCTCTAATCTTCAAAAATCGAACAAAAACACAAACAATCAGCGATTCTCTGGCAATTTGAAGGTTCTGCCGCCGTGAAAGGTCTGCTGCCGTGAAAGGGTCTGCCGCCGTGAAAGGGTCTGCCGCCGTGAAAGGTCTGCCGCTTCAACAAAACACGCCTGTGTCCGCATCTTCTGTAAGTTTCATTTCAGCTTATGTGTAGAATTGATTCTTGATAACCATGACATCATCATCCCCTGCCATTGTTATGTTTCTCTTTTGATAACCATGACATCATTGCTAGAGTAACACCAATCTCCAACAACAAAGGTTATTTTAATCCCTCTGAATAGAAAATGCATTAATTGAAACTAATGGCCATGCTTTTGTTCCAGGTTCATGCCATGGACATGACCGATGCTGTGATTGTCAAATCTAGTAGGTTGAAATCAGTCGTATGGAATGATTTTGACAGGATTAAAAAAGGCGACACATGTGTCGCTGTCTGTAGGCATTGTAAAAAGAAGCTGAGTGGTTCCAGTACCAGTGGAACATCACATCTAAGGAACCATCTAATCAGGTGTCAGAGAAGGTCTAACCATGGTCTAGCGCAATACATTACAGCGAGAGAAAAGAGAAAGGAAGGGACTCTTGCAATTGCGAATTTCAATTTGGATCAAGATTCAAACAAAGATGATACCCTTAACCTTGTGAATATCAAATTTGAGCAGACACAGTTGAAAGAAGAATCTCTCAACGCAGGAACTAGTAACTTTGATCAAAGGCGTAGTCGATTTGATCTTGCCCGCATGATTATTCTACATGGATATCCCTTGGCCATGGTTGAGCATGTTGGTTTCAGAGCTTTTATAAAAAACCTACAGCCCTTGTTTGAGCTTGTTACATTGAATCGTGTTGAGGCTGATTGTATTGAGATTTATGAAAAAGAGAGGAAAAAGATGAATGAGATGTTGGATAAATTACCTGGAAAGATCAGTCTTAGTGCTGATGTGTGGACTGCAATCGATTATGCTCAGTATTTGTGTTTGACATCAAATTACATCGATGAATCATGGCAGTTAAGAAGGAGGATATTAAGTTTTATACGGATTGATCCTTCTCATACTCAAGACACACTTTCAGCAGCTGTGATGTCTTGTTTGATGGATTGGGATATTGACCGTAAGTTGTTCTCCATGATTTTGGACAGTTATTCTACCTGTGACAACATTGCATCTATAATCGGTGAGAGACTTATGCAAAACAGGTTTCTTTATTGTAAAGGTCAATTATTTGATATACGATGTGTTGCCGATATTCTTAATGTCATGTCTCAGATTGCTTTGGGAGGTATAAGTGAGATAGTCAATAAGATTCGTGAAACTACTCAATATATTAAAAGTTCACAAACTGTGCTGGGAAAGTTCCATGAGATGGCTAAAGAAGTCGGGATCATGACTCAAAAATCCTTATTTCTAGATAATCCAATGCAATGGAATTCGACATATTCAATGCTTGAAGACGCTTTACAATTCAAGGATGTTTTAATTCTTTTGAAAGAAAATACCGGTGACTGTAATATCTCTTTATCTGAAGAAGAGTGGGAGAGGCTCTCTTTATCTGAAGTAGAGTGGGAGAGGCTCACCACAGTTACTGGCTACTTAAAGCTTTTTGTCGAGGTTATAAATATTTTCACTAGGAGCAAGTATCCAACTGCAAATATATATTTCCCTGAGCTCTGTGATGTTAAGTTACATTTGATTGAATGGTGCAAGAATTCAGATGCGTGTATCAGTTCTTTGGTGTTGAAGTTGAGAAGCAAGTTTGACGAGTATTGGGACAAATGCAGCTTAGGATTGGCAGTTGCTGCCATGTTAGACCCTCGATTCAAGATGAAGTTGGTCGACTATTATTATCCCCAAATCTATGGTAGCATGTCAACAACTCGGATTGAAGAGGTCTTTGAGGGTGTGAAGGATCTTTACAGCGAACATTCCTTAGGCTCGCCCTTAGCTTCTCATGACCAAGGATTAGCCTGGCAAGTTGGTAACGGTAGTAGTCAACTTTGCTTGCCGTGGTCTGTGAAGGACTCAAGGGACAGGCTGATGGGGTTCGACAAATTCCTCCATGAAACTTCTCAAGGTGAAGGTGCAAAATCAGATCTAGAAAAGTACTTAGAAGAGCCTCTCTTTCCGCGAAACGTTGATTTCAACATATTAAATTGGTGGAAAGTTCACACTCCGAGGTATCCTGTCTTATCCATGATGGCCCGAAATGTTTTAGGAATTCCAATGTCAAAAGTTGCACCAGAGTTGGCATTTAATTATAATGGAAGGACCCTTGACCGTGATTGGAGCTCACTTAGTCCGGCTACTGTCCAAGCTTTGGTGTGTTCACAGGATTGGATACGGAGTGAACTGGAAAACTAGAATTGCTTTTCCTTTACGTTCTAACTGTACATGCCAATTCCCCCCTTAGAAATATGACCATTGTAAGTTGGATCTTCTTCTAACTTCACATTTCAATTTTCCGTACCTTTTGTCTGCAAGTTCCTATTTATTTAGCTCACAACCTCATGAAACTTAGCAACTCCATCTATGATAAATTTTAGAGCATTGTTTTTTTGTTAATATTTTTGGTCACCTGTTGAAAACAAAGTATCTTATATAGTGCGGCAAGAGAAGTGGTAAATATTTGTCGGTATAGACCATTCTACTTCTGTCAAGAACATCAATTTTCCAATAGTTTAATTATTTTCAGTTCCTCAAATTGTATTGGTTTTTGCTTTTTCTTAGTTTTATGTCTCATTTTTTTTCTATCCATGATTTATGTTATATGTTGGCATGCATGCCTTGTTGCCGTGACCGTGAGATCAACGTGAGGACCACCCTCACCAATCCTTTCTCAACCACATTTGTAACTTAAAACCTTGGATCTCTGCATAGAGTGTGTGTCAACCATGTCCACTATCAACTCCACAGCCTCCTCCATAATGTGCCCATCTTCTACAAAACCGCCCTCCATTTTGCCAAGTACATTCATAAAACCCTTATGTTCCTTCTTTCCCTTCTCGACAGTCTATCTTCTAAACTCAAAAACAACAAATCTTCTCTTTATTTTACTCAACATTTGTTTGGTGCCATCCTTATCTGTACCGTACCCTTCTCGGAATCCCTGCTTTTGTCTCACCATGTTTGTGGAAGATAAGGGGTAAAGGCCCTTTAAGTCGTTAACATGACGCCAACATAGAAATCGACTAGTAGCATAAATTGCTGATCTTTCAAAGATATCTAAAAGTAAGTAGTTTTTTCTGGACAGACTGATGTTAGTGAGTTATTGGTTGTTAGTTTTTAGGACTTGAATCCTATACCTCAAAATTTCTTAGATGTCTCTTCGCTCCACCAACAATTAGGTTAGTTGAGTATTTACAATCTGATAAATTGTTGGCATAGATAAATTGTTGGCATAGTTGAAATCATTTGCACTATATCATCAACCTCAGATATTTCAGTTTGGTGTCTACTCGGGATGACAAACAAACAAGGTGCAATTTTAACTTTATAAGTGTGCTCGCATGAATCCAGGTACACAAAATGTGGCATAGTATTCTTATATAACTAGTGTTTTTGTATTCAGATACAAAATTTTGGCATACTATTATTCTTATATAACTAGTGTTTTTTGTATTCAGATACAAAAGTCTGGCATAACATTATTCTCATACAAGTGATTTGATTGTTAAAACGATTTATGTTCCATTTCAATTGCCTCGTAACATCTGTATTTCTTGTTGGTTTTTCTATAAAAAAGAATGAGAAAGTAAATAATAAAAGAAAGTGAGTATAGAAAATAAAGAGATTTCTAACCGAATTATAGACTAGACACAAATTTACTTCTTTGGCTTGAAGTAAAGAGTAGAAAGTCTATTTTTCTTAAAATGGTATAACGTTTATTTTCTTCATACAGTTAATTCAAACCAAAGAAAGAAAAAGTAATAAAAAGATTCTAACTTGTAAGTGCTGTAAAGTGAGTTCATTAAAAATTAGTTGAGAGCGTTTGTTAAAAAGAGGTGCCATTTAAAAGTAAAATTCTAAGTTTCTTACGCCATCTTAAATTGTATAGGGTGTTGTTCACTCACCCCACCCCATGTATCTATCCCTAAAATTTGAACGTGTCTATTGTACACTAAATCACTTTACAAAGTGGTAATCTATTTTTATTTTTTTTAATTTTAAAATATGTTCAGATTTCAATCACTAGATTAACCTTGTTTGTGTATTGATTAATCATAGGACAATATTTTACATCCTTAGACAATAAATTAAAAGAAATTTGACAACTTTTTTAATTAAATCTTACATTATAAGTCATTTAATAAATTAATCCTACAATAAATCATAAATATTTCTCATTCAATAATAAGATCAAAATATAAGAACTAATGTATATATCAGAATGTCAAAACGTTATACAAAATGTCAAAATGTCATAAATATTCTAACAACAAGCCATAATACAAAATGTCAAAATATCAAGATATACAAAGTAAAAGACAACTACGGCATATATTTGACTTCTCTATTCCTCCTCTATCATCTGTACTATACCACATGACGTTCCTCTGATAAGATGACTTGTACAATGGCTATATGAGAAGTGCTTTTCTCAAACTCGACTGTAAGATCTTTAGTCGTATACTATACTCGATGGACAACGAGTTAATACAAGACGTACATCCTTTAGGATTAGATGATCATAGTACTCTGCAAAATCTCATCAACATCCATGCGGAGAACAGTGGGAGGAGCAACTATAATATGGTTTCTAGGTATACCATGCATATATCTGAACTATCATAGGACTCACTCAGATAAATGTGGATACATAAGTCGAAATCCACGAGTCAACTATCTAGAGTACAATGATATTACCTCTAAGGGTCGTGTTTCACGGTGCTCCCAGTATGACATAACAAAATGTAGTTAAGAGCACCTCGGAATGACTCGGTGACCTAATTCTTCTGAGTGAGAAGATTAAGCATATATGTAACAAAGTATTAGAGTAGCCTTCCACACATGCCCAGCTGGAGAGACGTGGGAAATTTTGATGGATCTGTGTTTGAAAATGATTCAGATGAAATATTAGTAACATATGTATTATGAAATTAATATCAGTAAGGGTGCAAAAAACTTATCGTAAATAGACAATTATTTCTTGTCAACTGTTGAGTCTTCCATACACTACCTCCAACTAATTTGGAGTAGAGGTACACCAAACAAGAAATTCCTTTATTGTAATTGTGAATCCTCTTAAAGTCAATGAAGTATCTCAAACAGATAACATCGATATATGTCACACTTTTATCCATAAATATGGACGTGACAACCAAAACCAAGAGATATGACCTTAATGAACATGATCTATGGTATGAAACCCATGAAACATCACCATCAATATCCAAAGTTGTATCCAAGTGGTTTTCATACATATCCACTAGGAATGAAAATCTAGCATGACATCCTCTAGTGTCATTAATCTCCAAATATGATTTTCTTGTGTTACCTCTTAAATAAGTTACCATCATGTCTAGTGTCCCATGTCTGTTGGTTTTGGAGTAGTTTAATAATTTTCTAGTAATCGAAAGATGTAAGAGGTATGACACATCATCAAATATGATGTACATCTCTGTAACACTCTGATTTAATTAAGGTTATTTTTATTTAAAAATAATTAGATGAGATGACGTGTTTACGGTGATGATATGTTTTATAATGTGATGAGATGCTATTTAGGAAATTAGAGGTTGAATTGTTGGAGTGTATGACTAAAAGCGTAGAGACCATGAGGTGAATGGGGAATATGGACATTATTAGTATCAAGATTTATATTCATTATTAATATTATTAGTAATTTAGATACAATTTATTTATAGTATTAGTAATTAAATAATTAATTAAAAATAAGAAGGGCAAGGTGGAAATATAAATTTAGGGGTCTAAGATGTGTTATTAGAAAACAAAAGTGAGAGCACGAGAAAATATATCGTAGAAGTGAGAAGCAGAAGAGAAGAGGAAAAACCTAGGGCTAAAGGGAAGACTCCATTGGAGCAGGGAAGAGAACTTAAAATATAAGGTAAGAGCGGGGTTCTAACTCTATAAGAGTTTGTATGATGATGGGTTATGGTAGAGTTAGGTTGAGTAATTGTTTAATCATTCTTTGTGTGAAATTGGTGTGTATGTGATGATTTGAGATGTTGAATTGATGTGTGTAAAATCTTGATTTTGAATACGTAAAGTAATCTCATTGATGATTATGATGTATGCCTATTAGGTATGATGAATTGCTGTTATTTCATGTGGA